CAGGTGACAGTTGTTTCCAAGACTTCCAAGACTACTGTCCTGAATACGCTTTTCTCCTCATTAACGGGAGACGCCTTGTTTATCAAATTCAGTTTATAGAGGATGAAATTGCATGGTTTCAAAAAAGTTTAAAACAGGGTGACCGGTGTTGTTTAAACTTTTTTTTGAAAAACGTTTTTTGTACTTTTTATTTGTTCACCATTAAAGAAAATATGCCGCTGTTTTGCCGCAATGATGATGACCCGCATCAAATATTTCATGTGTACTTTCTTATTGTAATTAAGGGGCGGTGGGGTAGTCTAGTGGTTAAAGCGTTGGCTCCTCTCGCCGAAGGCCCGAGTTTGATCCCCACATGGGTACAATATGTGAAGCCCATTTCCCGCCGTGATATTGTTGGGATATTGTTTAGAGCGGCGTAAAACTAAACTCACTATTGTTTTTAAATCTAGTCAACCTGAAGAAATCCAACCTGAAGGTGAAAACAGTTTGGCCATTGTTATGCGCTATTTTCCATCCGTTGCGGTTGCTCAAACACGCCGATTATTATTACCCTGGATAACCCAAGCTGCCTGTGAGGCCCCAGAAGGTTAATAGCCACATGACTTATCCCACCGGGTACCCTTTTTCTGCTGGATAAACAGAGGCAATTTATAACAAACTCACTTGTCTAAGGTGACACCACATGTGTCAGATGTGCTTCGTTGTGGGCGGGACTGAAGTCCTAGAAACTCTAGGACTAAAGCTGCCAAACACGGTCACCTATCCAAGAACTCTCCGAGCACAACGTTGCTTAACTTTAACTGATTTGTGGCCTTAGCACCACCTTCTGAGTGAGTGAGTGAGTGAGTTTAGTTTTACGCCGCTTTTAGCAATATTCCAGCAATATCACGGCGGGGGACACCAGAAATGGACAGAACACATTGTGCCCATGTGGGGAATCGAACCCGGGTTTTCGGCGTGACGAGCGAACGCCTTAACCACTAGGCTACCCCAGCGCCCCGCACCACCTTCTGAAGCATCATATAATAATCAGTAGTCCACATCAAATGTAACCTTGTCGAAAGGGGTAAACTACCAGCACACGTGTTATTTTCACATCTTTAGTATCAGTGTGTAGCATACATGGAGTTCATCAAATTCCCCTTGTCAACACTTACCGTCAAATGTGCTACCTTTGCAATATGTTTCCAGTTTGAGCATATAAACTGACGTAAAAAAGAAAGTTCACACCTAGTGTTTTGGGGATTATTTTTCAAAAAATAGAAAGTGGATAGTTTGAAAAGTGTTTTGACTGTGACTGACAAGATATCGTACCCAAATGCGACGTTGGAACGTAGACGCTTCAGTCGATGTTGACGGAGTCATGACATGACCCGAAATGGTCGACACCCACAATCATCCCTTCATGGTGTTCCTGCTGATTCGGTGACAGACAGAAGGGACAGATTAAACCAGTTGTTATATTTTCACGTTATTGCTTCTTAATTATTAGTAGAAGCATAGATAATAATTATAGATCTATGATAAAGGCCTGTTTAAGGATACCCACCCGTGAAAATCCGGGTAGAACTGATCTTCAGCAACCCATGCTTGTCGTAAAATGCAACTAACGGGATCGGGTGGTCAGGCTCACTGGCTTGGTTGAGACATGTCATCGTATCCCAATTGCGTAGATCGATGCTCATGCTGTTAATCAATCAATCAATTTATCAATCCTTCCCCTCTCCTGGTATACGCTCTATATGGATAGATTGAAACAAACACACAAATCAATACAAGAGTGCGACATCGTCACCACTAGAAGCGCTAATACAATCTTCAATGAATGACGTCATGGCTTCTGACAGTGACCCCTTTGATCCTGTCTGTCGTTTTAACATATTGAGAAAGTATGAAAGCCTTTCTGAAACAATAACTATAGATGCCACCGCGTTTAATAGTTTTAATTATTACCCACGTGGTCAACGTATGGGTAGTTGCATATTAATCTCGTACGTCACACGAGTGTCGTATCGCGTTGACCTGTGTCGTAACGACTTGACCTGAAATTCTAACGATTTGATTGGATAACTGATGACCTCTCAATTAGGTCACATTCTGACGTAAGTATTTTTTCATTCATAACAAACACGTGAATTCATTCATTCTACAACTTACATGCATTGTGGGAATGTAAACATTGCGAACGTTGCCGTGTCGCTGTTTAATTGTGAGTCGAACTGAGACATTATATCTGTCGAAAAACATAAACGCAATGTTTCCACCAGTGATGTCAGCCGAATGAAGCAACTGGAAACCAAGAAACGAGGTGCAACGGAGTAGTTTACTGTAGGAGGCTGTACGAGGCGATGACGACTGACATGCATCGTGACGTCGGTTACCATGGCAGTGACGTCATTAGTGTGACGTCATGCAAATATTGTACTACAGTACAAAACTCTTCCGCAACCTCTTTATGAAACCGGTTTCGGTTTGAAACCAAAAACATAACAAAAATACGCTATTTTGTCAATTTAAATGCATGTAAGACGTGGGTAATAAATAAAATACCACACTCGGTCTCATTACATACGAATTATACGAAACTCGTGACCTTCCTATGCTATCTGACCTCGCTTTCGCTCGGTCAGATACCATAGGAAGGACACTCGTTTCGTATAATTCGTATGTAATGAGACCGAGTGTAGTATTCTTCTCTATGTATCGAATACCGACAAACCATGTTTATGATGATGATTAAATGTAATCTTTTTAAGCCCAATAAGCCCTTAAGCGGCGTTAAACGACAAACCCTCCCAATCAACATACACCTTCAGTCGATCTTTGAAGTGTCGAACGTCGCATGACTCGAAGAATTTACGTAGGTCCCTTCAACCTCGCTACAACGGTGTTTGAGGTGAGGTGAAATTGGGTTTAACGTCCTGATTGAGAATATGTCGCTCATATAACGACGTGCATGCGTGTGTATGTGTCTGTGCAGCTGCTTGTACTAGCCCAGACTGAAGCTGGTTTTCTAGTGCTAGCCCACTGAGATACCATGCCGCAGTGAAGCATGAATACCCCACTCAGACACATTATACTGACTCCGAGCCGACTAGTCCTGGTTGTACCCATTAATGCCGAGCGCCAGGCTGGGACCAAAAAGTACCATATTTTAACGTCTTTTGGTATGACGCGGTCGGGTATCGAACCCGCGACCTTCCGCTCTCCGGGCGGACGATCTAACCACTACACCATGGAGGCGGTCCAACGGTGTTTGGACCTGACAATTTGCACTGTACTACAACTACGATTTATTCAAACATATACATACGTATTTACTAAATGCCAACTGCAATTACCCCACTACTTCAGTCACAAGTCTGAGTTTATCCCACTGGAGATCATGTGACGAAAGTTCATTATCGAATGTCGCCTACAACATCAAAATACAATTGTGTTTTTCTCATGTGTCGATCTGTGTTGAAGCACGCTGGTACATAAAAAGATGGATCAATGGCAGCCCGGAGAGACATGGTTAAATAACATGTCATTGTGACATGATACTGGGACACTCCGCCCAACGTCGACCATACACTGCGATAACGAACGGCTTTTTAAGATGTATTTTACTTGTATGAGACAAACACCCTCTTATCTCCCAGTAAGAGATACAAGAAATGAGGTCAGTTTAAGACTGGAACCCAGTTTTGAGAGACGGTAACAAAACGTTAGGCCTCTGTTTTAAATAATTTGGTTCACGGGGTTTTGTTTCCGAGTTACAACACATACAATTACTTAAATGGTGTGTTTTCCAATGAAAGCTAAAGGCCTTTGGATTACTTTGTACGTTTCACTCTCGTCGTAATGATAATGAATGTATATAGTATCCCATGGACATGAATATGTGCTCACTGGCGTTGTAATATATAAGATACATTCGGAAGTTAGAGAACGGTGTCAAACGTTTTGTGGAAGAGATGGGATTTAACGACGTCTTAAACTAGTACTGAAGCCATGTAGATGGTGTCGTAACTGATGAAGATTGTTCCAGAGATTAGGATCTGAAGCTGAGATGGTTAAGACACCCATTGCTATGTTGCTAATTATGTCAGTAGAATGTAGATCTGGTTCACAGAATTTATAAAATAACGACAAGGTTTGTGTTCACGGACCAGATGTTATGAGTGAGTGAGTTTAGTTTTACGCTGCTTTTAGCTATATTCCAGCAATATCACGGCCGGGGACACCAGAAATGGGCTTCACTCATTGAGTTGGTTTGAGTCAGGGCAGATATTACGGTCACTGTTATGGGCAAGAAAACAATTGTGTGCGCGTTGTTTGACAGGTTGTCAGTTCAGTGATTTGAGAACAGTTGAAATGTGGCTTGTGCAGCGAGTACCGTAACAATCCTAGCTGATGAGGTTTGAAATTTTTCAGTTTGGCCTGTATCAAAGCGTATTAAAATGCATGTGACAGTCAAGCCACTTGTACTCTGTATCATCCCTCCGGAAGGCGCCGGTCTGACTAACGCCTATTCACGGAAATTTTAAATTTTCATAGAACAAAATATCTCCTAGCTAAGATACATAGCGTTCACGGACATGAACGTTTTATGTCCGTGGACGCTATGTATCTTAGCTAAATATCTCCATGTAAATTGAAATGGGGCCCCAGTGAGATGGGAGATTCAGATACTGGGTAAACACTTGCCTTGCTTCATGTTGGTCTTTTGAATAGCAGAAGGGCTTGGTGGAAAGAAAAAGAACATGTGGTTCTTGAACTGAGGCAGACTCAGCAGCAGTCTATATTAGTTGTTCCGAGTGCACTCGAATGAGCGATCTTTGTTCCACAAGGGCGATAATTCTCCTTTTGAAATGATGTAAGCGACGGTCAAGCCGCCCGCTTCCAGTCTGGTTCCCGACACAATGTGCGATACGACATCTTGCGACATGTAAAGACAGAGCCAAGCTATAATACGCTTGAGCCAAGCTGATAGAAAAAAACGGTCGTTTACACAGAAATACCACTATATCCCGGGGGACACCAGAAATGGGCTACACACATTGTACCCATGTGGGGAATCGGAACCCGGGTCTTCAGCGGGACGAGCGAACGCTTTAACCACTAGTCTTCCCCACTGCCCCATGTCACGGTATAATAAGCAGACAGCGTAAAGCCAATATTCAAACATTTGCAACATTTGATGTGACCTTAACCCCTGTTGGAATTCTGTCCCCAAAATATTGGCCCTTAGCAACCCATGGTGGCTGTAAGAGAAGACATCGTGGGTTCGTATCCAATGTTTGTTCCGAACTGGATTAATTGGAGCCAGTCAGCATGAAACCCAAACCCATGTTGGTAACCTTCTACTGTCGCTGTAGCCCTATGAGTTTTATCCTAGGTTCGTTGTCTTGCCACGATATTACTCAGGTAAACTGTTCAACCCACTCACTGGGTCGAGGTGACACTTGGCTCAAGAAGATGTGGAAATTGCAGCGTATATCTTTCATGTGTACTTATTTTTTATGTTAAAGTTTTTTCGGTATTTTCCCGTTTAACCATCCGAGAAATGGTCGCCGAAGACAAAAACATTCACTATCAATAGGAACTCCATTTCATGTGTGTACAGTGTACAGGACCATTTGTAAGTATGAGCACAATGTATATTAATTAAAAACGTGTTTATAGTAAAAATGTTTTAACAAATGCTTGCGTTGTGCAGTGCTAAATGTCAAGTGGGGTGTCTGTCACAGCTGGTCTCATTAAAATCCGGACAATTAGTGTTTTACCGTAATTATAGTACGTTGCTTGAATTTGAGCCACAAGTTATGACATTTATGATTCTTTCTTTATCTTGTACATGCCTATCATAACAAATAGCCTGGAAAATAACTGAAGCAAACTACCAATCTCTTTTTTCCTTTTTTTTATCAATTTCGAAGCAATAACTATCAATCCAGCTCAATTCATATGTAGAATAAACCAATTGAAGACAAGAGGGTGGTCAGCCTCGCTGACTTGGTTGACACATGTCAGCGTGTCCAAATTAGGTATATCAGTGCTCAAGATGTCAGTCATGCGATTGTCTGGCTATTTACAGACTGCAGTCGTACAGCTGGGAAATTGCTGAGTGCGTATTTATTCAACAAGCAAACAAACAAAACATTAGACAGGTTTGTTAGTCTATAACCGAGAAAGATGACGGGTACTGTGCTAAGCTGGATCCTGTTTCAATAGAAGAGATACACCTCTGCGTACCCCAATGACAGGTTGTTACCCTAGCACTTCATGTATTTTTCCAGAAAAGCTTCAAGAGCTCGTGAAGACGAGTCATGAGATGAAGAAAATGGCGTACTTCCCCTACAGCCAGTTTCCAGTCGGAGCAGCCCTGCTGACAGCTGATGAGACTATGTTCACAGGTAGATCAGAGTTATCGCCCTTACAAAAGGTATACAGGGACCCTGGCCTCGCCAGTCGAAACATTCATGTTATTGTGGAACAAGCTGGCGACTAGTTTGCCTCGTATGGCCATTTTACCAACTCCTTTCAAACGCTCAAATGGGCCATTTCTGGTGTCCCCTGCCATGATATTGCCGTTTAACGTTACGTTAGACCAAATTCACTCACTCACTCACTCACTCACTCACTCACTCACTCACTCACTTACTTTACAGTGGAATAAGTCTGGTTTACTACAGTTTTCGAGAGTATTCCATTTCTAATAGGACAAGGGACTTCGTGAATTGGCACCAAGTTTTGTACCTGTATCAGGTAACTTCGAGCCTGAAAAGAGAATACTTTAACGTCCGTTCGGAGCTACGGAAATCGACCCAGTCAATGAATTTAAAAGAAATTTGAAATTTTTGGACTCTGACGCCATAGTCATTGGGATGCGGACTAAATTGGGCCGCATAAAAGTATTCTTGGGCACTTCTTTTATCAAAAGCGACGAGTGAGTAACATTAAGCCTCAGTATTCAGCAACACAACTAGGCCCACGTTTAACCGACTCCCACATACGTAAAAACGGAAAACGTTCTAGTTCATTGCATGGATGAAAACGTGTCCTCTATATAAAGTGGGAAATTTGAGGAATATTTATATTAATCTCTTGATGCTGTAGATATGAGCACTCTGTATGAGCACTCGCGGGCGGGCACGCACGCACGGACACACACACGCATACTCATCTTCCATCTCTTTTGCTTATAATGTGATATTTTAAGACGGAGCCCAGTTAGGAGTTTACAAAGGGAACATGACCACCGAGTGGGTCTTTCTTTAATTTTTTTTTTGTGTTTAGAAATTTGTCATGTTACTTTGCCTGTATAGGTTGTAACGTTGAAAACGCATCATATGGCCTCGGGATTTGTGCGGAGAGAACAGCCATTGTCAAGGCCGTGTCAGAAGGTCATCAAAAGTTCAAGGCCATAGCTATCGCAAGGTAACATTGTGAAACTAGAATTGGAAAATGTATTGCGTGAAAGTGATTTTTTGAAATCTTGGATAGCACAGTGACTGTGTAATGAGACACATACATGTAACATAATACAAACTGCTTGGTTTTGTAAGTTACATATTGTTGTAGTAGTAGTCGCGATAGTATTAATAGACGTGGTAGTAGTGGTGGTGGTAGTAGTAAATTGAGTAGTAGTAGTAATAGTAGTAGTAGTAATAGTAATAGTAGTAGTAGTAGTAAATTGAGTAGTATAGTAGTAGTAGTAGTAGTATTTAACAATGTTTTAACATTCATGTTTTAATTTGATGTATGGGTATTAGAATTGGTATATATTTTAAGAACAATAATATATGACATTGTTGTGTGTTTAGTTTTCTTTTGTTGTTTTTTTTCTTTTGTTGTCTATGTTCCTTGCCCTTCATCATAAAACCGTATCATGAATAAATTATCTGATGAAAGACAATAAGTAGCCCTGAAACATCGTCATCTATAAATATACTGAGTCAAAAAAGAAACTTCACATTCTTTCTTCAGGGCACTATAAAAGAACAAGAAGATGGTAAGATGGTTAAATTGTCATTATTTCATTGCTGAGATCTGTGTGATGTACTCGATACACTGACAGTGCCATACACAGGCTACACCGCCATACACAGGCTACACCGCCGTTCCAAAACATGGGTATACACAATGTCAAGTCACAAGAATAAAAATGCGAAATATCTCAGTTCAATGTCGTGTATGGCCGCCCTGCGCATTCACCACTGCCAAACACCGTGTCCTCATCGACTGCCTGATGCTTGTGAACACGTGGTTGGGGATTCTGCGACATTGCTCTTGCAAAGCAGCGCCAAGTTCCTGCAAATTCTGAGGTTGGCTCCTAAGACCACGAAGCCTTCCCCCAAGTGCATCCCAGACGTGCTCTATTGGATTAAGGTCAGGGGACCTCAATGGCCAGTCCATGACGTTGATTCCAGCGTTTTGAAGGAAATTTCGTGTCAACATCGCGGTATGCGGCCGAGCATTATCATGCTGGAACTGTAGACCTGGGCCATGAGCCGCCATGAAAGGAACACGGTAAGCAGCAGCTGTGAGGTTTCCACGGATGACCAGAAGTCGGGAACGGTTGTTCCCACAGAAAGCACCCCACACCATGCAACTTCCGCCCCAGAATCTGTCGACTTCCTGTACACAACATTGGGCATACCGTTCACGACGTCGTCTCCATACTCTATGCCTTGCGTCCGCGAATCTGAGGGTAAACCTGGATTCATCGCTAAAGACGACTCGATTCCAGTCTCTCTGGGTCCATAGGAGGTGACGTTGGGCCCACAGCAGACGTTGACGTTGATAAAACGGCGTCAATATTGGCCCACGATATGGACGTCGAGAATGGAGATTGGCAGCCCGCAACCGATTTCGAATGGTCTGTGAGGACAGTCGACCTCTAAACATCTCAGCCCTGGTTCGTGTAGCCGGCAGAAATGTGTCACGTAGGTGACGTAGGACGATTTGACGGTCTTCTGCTCGTGACGTCACACGTGGACGACCCGACCTTGGGCGATCAGAAGTGGTGCTAGTTTGTTGTAGACGACCTCGCAAGTCATACACAGTACGACGGCTGCATCCCATTGCTCTTGCGACGTCAATAACTGATCTTCCCGCTTGCAACATGCCAACGGCACGTTCACGTTGCACTTTTGACAATCGTGGCATTTCAAGTACCGTTAGAACTGTGGTTTAAAAGTGTTTTTTCACTTCTTGAGGCCAATGCAAACACGTGCATATGAAGAAAACGTCGATGCGAAGATCACGTGATCGACTGCACGTGCAAAACCTGATTTGGCACAAACATCATTTGCACGACGAAAGGATGGGTTTGATTGGGTTTTGCTGACGTTTTTCTAGAGTCGAAAGATAGGGATCCCATTTCGGATACATAGATGTATCATCAGAGAAAAATTATTCATTATTTTTCAAATTACATTTTGTGAAGTTTCTTTTTTGACTCAGTATAATAATGTGTATTCGTGATATTAACCCGATTCATATCCATGTCTGATCAACAGTGATCTGAAGGAAAGGACCATTGTGCCATGTGGTGCATGCCGACAGGTTCTGATGGAGGTGAGCCTTCTTTATCTCTGTTTATCTCTTTGTTTATCTCTGTGTTTGTCTCTGTGTTTAACTCAGTGTTTATCTCTGTGTTTGTCTCTGTGTTTATCTCATTGTTTGTCTCAGTGTTTGTCTCTGTGTTTCTCTCTTTGTTTATCTCTTTGTTTATCTCTGTTTTTGTCTCTGTGTTTGCCTCTGTGTTTATCTCTGTGTTTATCTCTTTGTTTATCTCTGTGTTTGTCTCTGTGTTTATCTCTGTGTTTATCTCTCTGTTTATCTCAGTGTTTGTCTCTGTGTTTGTCTGTGTTTGTCTCTGTGTTTATCTCTGTGTTTGTCTCTGTGTTTATCTCTGTGTTTATCTCAGTGTTTGTCTCTGTGTTTATCTCAGTGTTTATCTCTGTGTTTATCTCTGTGTTTGTCACTGTTTGTCTCTTTGTCTCTATGTTTGTTTGTCTGTGTTTGTTTGTCTCTGTGTTTATCTCTGTGATTATCTCTTTGTTTATCTGTGTTAATCTCAGTGTTTATCTCTGTGTTTGTCTTTGTTTATTTCTGTGTTTATCTCTTTGTTTATCTCAGTGTTTGTCTCTGTGTTTGTCTCTGTGTTTATCTCTGTGTTTGTCTCTGTGTTTCACTCTGTGTTTGTCTCTGTGTTTATCTCTGTGTTTATCTCAGTGTTTGTCTCTGTGTTTATCTCAGTGTTTATCTCTGTGTTTGTCTCTGTTTGTCTCTTTGTGTCTGTGTTTGTTTGTCTGTGTTTGTTTGTCTCTGTGTTTATCTCTGTTATTATCTCTTTGTTTATCTCTGTGTTAATCTCAGTGTTTATCTCTGTGTTTATCTCTTTGTTTACATCTGTTTAGCTCTTTGTTTATTTCTGCCTCTGTCTCTTTGTTTACCTCTGTGATTATCTCAGTGTTTATCTCTGTGATTATCTCTGAATATCTCAGTGTTTATCTGTTTGTTTATCTCTGTGATTATCTCAGTGTTTATCTCTGTGTTTATCTCAGTGTTTGTCTCAGTGTTTGTCTCTGTGTTTATCTCTTTGTTTATCTCTTTGTCTCTGTGTTTGTCTCTTTGTTTATATCTTTGTTTATCTCTGTTTTTGTCTCTTTGTTTATCTCAGTGTTTATCTCTTTGTATACCTCTGTGTTTGTCTCAGTGTTTATCTCAGTGTTTGTCTCTGTGTTTGTCTCTGTGTTTGTCTCTGTGTTTGTCTCTGTGTTTATCTCAGTGTTTGTCTCTGTCTTTATCTCTTTGTTTATCTCTGTGTTTGTCTCTGTTTATCTCTTTGTCTCTGTGTTTGTTTCTCTGTGTTTGTTTGTCTCTGTATTTATCTCTGTGATTATCTCTGTGTTTATCTCTGTGATTATCTCTTTGTTTATCTCTGTGTTTATCTCTTTGTTTATGTCTGTGTTTGTCTCTGTGTTTACCTCTGTGTTTATCTCTTTGTTTATCTCAGTGTTTGTCTCTGTGTTTGTCTCTGTGTTTATCTCTGTGTTTGTCTCTGTGTTTCCATATGTGTTTGTCTCTCATGTTTATCTCTGTTTATTTATCTCGAGGTGTTTGTCTCTGTGTTTATCTCTAGTTATTTATCTATATTTATGTACTTCCCATTTATCTCTATATTATTCTATATTATCCCTTTGTTTGTCTTTATTTATGTTCTTTATCTATGTATTCCATATTTTATCTCTATATTCCATATTTATTCTATATTCCATATTTATCTGTATTTTTATTTATATCTTATCCATTTATATCTATATTTATTTATTTATATTTATCTATATTTCCTCCATATTTATCTATATTTATCTATTTATGTATTTACCATATTTATCTGTATTTATTTATTTATCTATATTATTTATATTTATCTGTATTTCCATATTTATCTATATTTTATATATTTATCTATATTTATCTATATTTATCTATATTTATCTATTTATCTATATTTATATTATATTTTATCTCTTTTCATTTATCTATATTTCATATTTTTATCTCTATTTTATATTTATCTATATTTCCATATTTTATCTATATTTATATTTCTATATTTATATTCCATATTTCCATATTTATATATATTTCCATATTTATCTATATTTATTTATTTATCTATATTCCATATTTATCCATATTTATATTTATCCTATCTCTATTCCATATTCTATATTATATCTATTATTTATCCATATTTATCTATTTATTTATCCATATTTATCTCTATTTCCATATTTATATTTATATTTCCATATTCCATCTATATTTATATTTATCTATATTTATCCATATTTATCTCTATTATTCATATTTATCTTTATTTATCCATATTTATCTATATTTATCTATTTATCTGTGTTTTCCATATTTATCTATATTTCATATTTATCTGTGTTTTCATATTTATCTCTATTTCATATTTATCTATATTTATCCATATTTATCTATTATTTCATATTTATCTATATTTCCATATCTATTATTCCATATTTATCTATTTTCCATATTTATCTATATTTTCTATATTATCTTTTATTTATCTTATTCATTTTATTTATTTTTATATTTATCTCCTATTTATATTTATCTATATTTTATTTATTTATCTGTATTTATCTATTTATTTCCTATTTATCTATATTTATATTTATCTTATTTCATATTTTTCTATATTTATCTATTTATATTTATCTATATTATCTATATTTATCTGTATTTATTATATTTATCTATTTTCCATCTATATCTATATTTCCATCTATCTATATTATCTCATATTTATCTTTATTTCCATATTTCTTTATTTTCTATTTATCTATATTTCTATTTATCTATCTCTATTTCCATATTTATCTATATTTATCTATGTATTTATCTTCTTTTATTTGTCTTTATATTTATCTTTTTCCTATTATATTTATTTCTTTATGTCTATATTTATATTTATCTGTTTATTTCTTATATTTTATCTATATTTTATATTTATCTGTGTTATTTATCTATGTATATTTCCATTTTATCTATCTTTTTTCTATTTATCTATATTTATGTTATCTCTATTTCCATATTTATCTATCTATATTTATTTATGTGTATATTTATCTATTATATTTCTATATTTATCTATATTTCTTGTATTTATCTGTTTTCATATTTATCTGTATTTCATATTTATCTATATTATCTATATTTATCTTTTATTCCATATTTATCTATATTTATATTCTGTGTTTATATTTATCTCTATATTTTATATTTATCTGTATTTTCATATTTATCTGTATTCCCATGTTTATTTATTCTTTTATCTCTATATTATCATATTTATCTATCTTCTTTATATCTGTTATATTCTACCATGTATCTTATATTTTATCTGTGTCCATATTTATCTATATATTTATATTTATCTGTATATTTATTCCATGTTCTCTATATTTATCATATTTATCTATATTTTCCATATTCTATTTGTCTATGTTCCTCTGTTTCTCATGTGTGTTTGTGTCTATATATTTCTCTGTCTCTATTTATCTCTGTATTTATGTCTTATTTATCTCTTGTTATTATTGTCTATATTTCTCTATATTTATCTATATTTATGTGTATTTGTATTTGTCTCCATATTTCTATGTTATCTCTTGTCTCATATTTTATATGTTCTCTATTATTCATATTTTTCCATATTTATGTTGTCTATTTTTATCTGTTGTCTATGTGTTGTCTGTGTATTTATTGTTCTGTTGTCTGTGTGTCTATATTTATCTATATTTCTGTTTGTCTGTATTTATCATGTTCTGTCTATATTTTTATGTGTCTGTCTATGTTCTATATTTCATCTTGTCTGTGTCTCCATGTGTCTGTGTGTTGTATGTGTTTGTGTGTTGTCTGTGTTTTCATATGTTATCTATGTGTTCCATATCTGTGTTGTTTTCTGTGTTCATGTGTCTTGTGTTATGTGTGTCTGTGTGTCATGTTCCTCTGTGTGTCTGTGTGTCTCTGTGTCTGTGTTGTCTGTCTTGTGTGTTGTGTGTGTGTGTGTCTGTGTCTCATGTGTCTGTCTGTGTTCCATGTGTCTCATGTCTGTGTCTGTGTGTGTCTGTGTCTGTGTGTGTGTGTCTGTGTGTCCATGTCTGTGTGTGTCTCTGTGTTGTCTGTGTTCCATGTGTCTGTGTGTCATGTCTGTGTGTCTGTGTCTGTGTGTCTCTGTGTTGTGTCTGTGTCTGTGTCTGTGTTGTGTGTGTGTGTCTGTCTGTGTCTCTGTTGTTGTGTCTCTGTCTGTGTGTGTGTGTGTCTGTGTGTCTCTGTGTGTCTGTGTGTCTCTGTGTGTGTGTCTGTGTGTGTCTGTGTGTGTGTGTCTGTGTTGTCTGTGTCTGTGTGTGTGTGTTGTCTGTGTCTGTTGTGTTATCTGTCTGTGTGTCTGTGTGTTGTCTGTGTTCCATGTGTCTGTGTGTCTGTGTGTCTCTGTGTTGTTGTCTGTGTCCATGTGTCTGTGTTGTGTGTCTGTGTGTCTGTGTCTGTGTTTATGTGTCTGTGTGTGTCTGTGTTTTCCATCTATGTTGTGTTGTCTGTGTCTGTCTGTTTGTTTGTGATTGTCTGTGTCTCTGTGTCTGTGTTCTCTGTGTGTCTGTGTTTATGTGTTGTTTCTGTCTGTTGTCTATGTCTGTGTTATCTGTGTGTCTCATGTTCTCTGTCTGTCTCTGTGTGTCTGATGTTCAGTGTTGTTATCTGTGTTTGTGTCCTTGTCTTGTCTCTGTGTTTCATATGTCTGTGTTCCTGTCTGTGTGTGTCTGTGTTGTCTATGTCTGTGTTTGTCTGTGTTCATGTTATCTGTGTTGCTGATTGTCTGTGTTGTCTGTGTGTCTCTGTGTCTGTGTCTCTGTGTTTATGTTGTCTGTGTGTTGTCCATGTTGTCTGTGTGTCATTGTTATCTCCATGTTTTCATGTTTATCTATGTTCATGTTATGTTGTTCATATTTATCTGTATTTCATCCATCTGTTATTTATCTATTTTCCATATTATCTATGTTTCCATATTTATCTATTA